GGGGGGGGGGGACCTTCGCCTTGTCAAAGCTCCAAAATTCACAGTTGCACTTGTTTACTGATTTTTATTAAAAGCTTTGTGTGAAAAATTCTACGCTAAAGAGCTCAAACGACAGAGACCGTCCGCCATTTTGAGAACCGAATATAGGAAGGAGAGACAGCCCATGTCACGTCAAGGAGCCTCCCTCCCATTTTTCTTAAAGAGACACGCTGCTCGCTCCCTCACTATCCATCCTTCGGTTCAAACAGTCTTATACTGCCATCCGGTGATTAAAAAAAGATACTACACGCATAAGAAATTAACCAACATTTCTTCTTAACTTTGACAATAATTACTAATTATTGTCGAATTTCAAACAATATTATCGTTTATCGCAATAATTTCTGAGACAAATAATCGCCCAGCGACATTTGTTATCGTGACAGGCCTAACTGAGTTATAGCCATTTTCTGTAGGCTAGCTAAAGGTTAATAAGTTGATCCGACAAGAACTTTCCGAGAGTTTTATTAAAATCCATCAAGTGTTTCCTGAGATATTTTGCTAACAGGCAAACAAGCACACACACATGGACAGAAACATTGTTGCTCTGTCTTCAGCAGCAGTAAAACGAATGGTGTGATTTGAGTTCACGCAAATCACACGGTTTCTGCTCTGCACAAAAATATTACCAAGAAAACACTAACGGGAACTTTTCACTCAAAAACTGGAGGAATTAAAACCAAAATGTTATGAATATGTGTTGTGAACTTTGAAACACCTCCCGTGGAGTTTAAAAACCCAGAGTGTGTTTTGTTGATCACCCATCACCCTGAGAGTGACGACTACGGCAGCTTTCCTCAAAATAAATGTTCTCTTACAACCATAACCTGAGATTATTAATGGGACTAAATGGCAGCGGCAATAATAAAATAAGCCAATTCATAAAAAGTGTTGCTGCTGAACAGTGGAGTAAATATTTGATATTCATCTCAGGCAAGAAAAAAACCATAAAGTGAAATGTAATGTATTTTATAATCAGTTTAATGATTTTTATCTCATGTTTAAAACTCTTAAAATCTGAAATCTTCACAGAAAGCTGACTAAAACCAGATTAATTTAAGTGTTTATTGCATATTGTTTTTAAATCTCTGACCTTACAGAGCAGAAACCTTTGCTCAGAGATCCTGGAGGCGACCTTGTGTCAGTCTCTTTCTGCTCAGATGAGACTCGGTGTGCGTCTGGTCCGCCCTTATCGGAGGAACGGAGGGTCCCAGGTCTGAAGGCGACCCTGAGCCGAAGGAATTCCAGGCAGATAAAACTCTCAGGCGGTCGAGAGCTCGAGCCTCTTTCCCCGAACGGGCCTTTTCCACCAGAACGGGAAGCGCCAAAGGGTTAGAGACACATTTTGAGCCTGTCTGAGGTGCGAAGCGGCCACAGACGACATCAAGATGAAGAAGTCCCTGAATAAAATTAAGTATTTTATTATCTGGTGAAACTGAATGAAAGCTTAGATAGTAGCCAAAGCTGCTTTTGTTGAACTTCTGTGAGTTTTTCA